AGTAGATGATCGATTTAATAATCGCATCGTCTGATTTACGACGCTCCGTAATCCATGTTCGCGTTAAGAGAGGTGCGGAAATATCAACCGATCATCGCCTTATTTTTGGACCCTCCGATTCAAACGAGGGAGAACCACGCAAATATCTGGCGGCAAAATCAAAGAGACAAACATCAAGGAAACATTATCTTCTGCGGATACGCGAGCAAAACTTGCAGGCAACACCGTGAGACGGTTTCAAAAAATCCAATTGTTTACGGCTAACGTGAATACCGAGTTGGAGCTGTTAAGAACAGCTTACTTGTGGCCACCGCTGAACGCTGCGGTTCAAAGCGGGTTGACCTCTCACATTTGTGGGAGGGGGTCAGAAACGAATTTTCTGGTCGATGCCAGAGGTTCAGCTGGCTGTAGCCAAGAAGTGGTTTTGAAGCAAAGAGCCTTCATCTCGAATGTGGCACGAAGGTGGTATCAAAAGCAGTGGTCAAAGCGGAAGCTGACTACTGGAATAAGTTCGACGAGGTATTAGATCGAATTTTCAGACGGTAAAGAAGGTATTCTGGTAGACCATCAGCTGCCTCTAAGACGGGAAGAAGAGCAGTCTGATCGACATACAGGACAAGTGCGAACGTCTTCATATTAAGGCAGAGGGCATACATCGACGATTGAGAAAGATTTCACGGAACTAACGCTGAGCAGGCGTAGGAACACTCGCCTTCAGAGCATCAAGGAACGAAAACGAATTAATCTTTCATTACAACTAAAATCGTGGAAACTGTGAAAACTTGAAAAGTAATGAAGCTGCTTGAATTTACGAAATCCAGCCTGCGATACTTCAAGATTTATGAGTACAAATTATGCTGCGAGTGAAACGTTGTCTCCCAGCAATGACTACTATGAAGACAGAAGTGGTCCGGAGGACTGGGTTGATAGTACCCATGCTCAACAAGGACAACCATAGGGAATGCTCCAATTATCGAAGAATTACCTGATTGAGCCTCCCGGAAAAGATTTACGCAAATGTGTTTGGAAGGACGTGTCACGGAACAGCTGATTCTAAGATCCAAAGAAAAGCAGTTTGGCTTCGGGCCAGTCCAATGCGCCTCTGGCAAAATCACATCCTTGAGTCAGATTGTTGAGAAATCTTGGGAGCTCATTTATCGGGTTTGCGTGAGATTTGTTGACTTATGACGAGTCTATTACCGGATCCCGGGCAAAAACCTTTGGGCGTACTTCCAGACGCATGTAATCAATGGTCAGTTGCCATGAGCCATCTGGTCACTACCTTTTGATATCAGGTGCTGCGTGATAGTAAATGGCGTTAAATCGAGACCTCTCAAAGTTGACACCGGTTTCCGCCAAGGTTGCGCTCTGTCCTCTCATTTGTTTATGCTACTACTGATGGACAGGATTGTTAGGCGCAGCCAAGGCGACGAACGTATCAGCGAAGGGAATGCAGCGAAAGGCGCTAGTTGAGTGGAGACGTTCATTACCTCAGGGTTTACCGGTAACGGGAAATGCGAGGAAGAGATCGACCGGCGATTTTGATTCGGCAGCGACGTTCTGTATGAATTAGCCCGAACCCCTTGTGACCCTGGCATAACTATCGCCGAAGTCTGAGTCTTCCGCGCTTAGGTCGATATTGATCGTCATGCTCGCCTATAACCATGAGTCGTGGGCCATGATCTCTGGGTTCAGGAATCTCGACATGGTCTGGAGTACAAATATCCAAGCAAGCCTTGGTGTGCAGCCGCTGTTTCTGAAGATTGAGAACTCACAGCTGTGATGATTTGGGAACTTCTTTCTAATGCCTCCACCTAATAATTGCTCCACCGACGAGCCAGAGACGTCAGGGTCGCCACGAATGACTCAGGGTCAGCTTCACGACAGATTCTGCTTCTGACTGGGATTATCTTCTGCCGAAGCTCAAACGCTGGCACAGGACTAGTTGACGACACCGTGTTATGCGCCTGTCTCCACGGTCTGCAACGATGACCGGTCGTCAAAACCGGCTGACTCATCTCGTCTGACCTGAGTAAACTTTAGCATCACGTGATACAAGTCAAAATTGAAGTTAGGCAGTCCAATCTGTTTGCTCTATTTGGATACTCACTGCAAATGATTCGTCTGTTTCACAGGACAGGGGGCAAAAATAAACCAAGACGCAATTATCTCTGGTCACTCCAGTGTTTCGTTCTTCACGACTCTGCCTTCGTTCTACGTAATGAAGGATGGGGACAACTGGGGCGCGGTCAAGTTCACTGGAGCTAAGCCGTCCCAGTCGCTACTGCAAGAGTAACAAGGAAGGTCCGTCACAATCCTGAAACGTTAGACACTAATTATGACCCGTTGCAATGTTAGGGTCTTCGCCTTGCTAAAGTGGGGTCAATTAAACAACTTCATTGTCTTGATGTATATATAAAGACCCTTGCCAAAAATTTCCAACTGGTGTCGAGTATCATCATGATGATGTCTTATATAGGAACACAAATGCCAAAGCCCAGCAGAGTGTAAACGTCGCTGGTTATTGGATAATCAGAGAAAGTTAGAGAACATTTCGCATTGATTTATAGTGTTCATGGAATATGACTAGCAGCGAAGGACAGAGCAGTAAGGTATAAATTCAACTGTTTGTTTTTTCTTTCCTGAACCTGCGACACAGAGCTGGAGGTGGCAAAATCTAGATCTCCAAAACAGGTCATCAAAAATGGCGTGTAAATCAGTTTACCGATTCGAAAGATCTAAGGCTGTTTTCTTTCCATACCACCTTATGGCGGACAAGACAAACATTCATCGGTAGACACGTGTCCATTTCTAATGAGCAATATGGAATTTAAAGCATCATGTAAACATGAACCAGTAGATAAGGCTCATTCCTGTACACACGTGAACGACTGACAAGTGCATACATTCGTTTGAATGAGATACGAGGTCACTTTTGTGATAGACGTGCTTCGTCGGAATTACTGAATATACTCTCCGTCCAACTAACTTGCAGCTAACCCTGTCAATAGTAAGCCATGAAACAGAAGGCTTCAGAATTAAACTAGAACACAATAATATTCCACGATGATAATTGGGTCACCAGATCAAGCAGTTAGAGGCATGTTGCCCTTTCCAGTTTCTTTTAACAGTGATGTAGATCTTACGCGTGAAATCGGGGTTGCCTTTAGGTCCTTCAGCAGATGTTTGTGCATGGCGATCAGCTGTTGACGTATCGCTTCAAGGTACCTCGATGCTTCAGCCGCCGTAATCTATAATTTGCTAACTCGC